ATGATTTTTGGTGTGGCGGACACTGAGTATACATGTTTTATATGTAAATAACACATTTTTCTTAAACATACACTTGCATGTGTGTGTATTTATATATGCAACATAATAAAATACAGATATATTGTAAAATAATACAAATAATAATCTTCTGGTAGAAACGGTGGCGCATTTGTTTCGATGTTACCCAAACCCACAGACAGCTGGCATTAAATCCTCAGTTGTGGGTTCATGCTGGGTGATGATGTGTAACCTTAGAGTCCTGGAAACTGCTCACAAATCATCAGTGTGAACAGCAGCCTTCTCATTTCCCAACACTCTCCCTGTCTCCATCCCTCACACACACACACACACACGGGTCTCGTTACTGATAATACAGCAGTTTTGCCTTCACCGGCGGTTCCGCTGCCACATTCAGTCAAATTAATTGCCTAATTAGCAAATAAAATGGCTTGCTTGCTTGCCAGTGACTGTGGTTTAGTATGCAAGACATTTAGTCCAAGGGCGAACCATCGGTTAGTCTGTGATTAGCGTTTCCAGTGTACCCTATAATTCATTTTTCCAAACACTATTGATTTCAGAGAGGAGGACTACGGGGGACTGGGATATATTTTGAACTCTTATTGGTCCGTCTGCCTGCGGTCTCGGTTTGATGTCACAGTACCAAAATTCCAGTAGTCGGTACCGATACCATTAAAATTTTACGGTTCTCGGTACCAATTTCAGTACCACAGCAAACTCAGTTTGAACTATTTTTCCAATTTATTTAACTATTTTAAGAAACTATTAAATTCAATTCAATGACTTTATTATTTATTAAAGTAAATTCATGAAAGCATTGAAGGCTACGTGCTGTTTAAATGAAAATATTGATGATATTGAGAAATATTGCTTATAAAAAAACAAGTGAAAAGTACGCAACCTTCTACGCACACATTATTATTAGTAGTACTTAGGGCTGGGTAATAAATATCCATTTCTCGATATTAATCGATTCTCATTTTTACGAACCGATATCGATTCTTAAATCTCAAGAATCGATTAGTCATCCTGTTTCGTTTGAATGAATGGGTCATTGTATCGCGGCCGCGCGCATCCAAAAAATCGCAATAATCTTTGTCCTTTGTTGCTATTGATATGAAACAAAGTCTCAATTTTCAAATTACGTCCATTTTCTTTAAAAATTCAAAAACATAAATAGCGTTTTGGCGCTGTGGCGCTGTGGCGTGAGATCGCTCTGGAGAAGCAGCAGCGCTGATCTCTCGTCCGGCTTAATAATACCAGTTAAACATGAATGAGCATCTGAAAGTGTGTTAAAGATAGAGTACAACTTATCCAAATCCGTATCATGTCACATTGATTCACTCAATCAGCGTTTCAACCGTGGAAAGACGTCAGTTAAACAGCTTGTAATCAATGTCATCGTCATATTTACCTCAGAAAACTCACATAAACTCGTTAGTCAGCTAGAAAAAATAACTCCAGAGAGGAGCATTTTGCTAAATATATACACCATATTACATAATATGCATTATAATCTTAATGTTCTTCAATATTTAATGCATATTTGAATAAATCTGGCAAGTTTTTATGATAGTCACCATTTAAATGTTTATATTTCATATAATCTTCTTATTATAAAAATAAATAAAAGTGTAATTTAAGTGTTTGTATAGCTACAAAACAGTTCATTATTACCTTCATATTAGGCTAATGAAGCCTATAGGCTACAACTACTGTAGACTCCCATAGTTTACAGCATTAGTTCAGAGATTTGATTCCCTTGAGAAAAGTTGCCATTTATTGTAACTGATATCCAAAATAATCAATATCGAATCGAAATCGAATTGAATTGCAAGCTTGTGAATCGAAATCGAATCGAATTGTGAAATTTGTGTAAATACCCAGCCCTAGTAGTAGTAGAAGTATTTTTAATTAATGGAGACATAGTTAAATCTATTGTACAGTAGCCTAATGTAATTATTTCCATCAATTTCTTTAAGTTAAACCAAACTTTTATTTTGACGGGTTGCCGCGAAGACCTTTGAGTTTCTGTGCGTGTATGACATGACGATAGTTTTTCTCAAATTAAACGGTAAAATGTTCATGTATGACTCTCGGAGATGAATGGAATCATGAATCGTCATCATATCGAGAGGCAGCAGAGACCAGAGATGGGGACTCGAGTCGCACTTGAGTCGTACAAACAGCTGACTTGCGACTCGACCCAAAAGACTCGTCAACAACCTGTTTTCATGCAATTGTTGCTTTTTAAATCTAAATTAATTTTAATGTATTTCTATTTTCTTTTATTGGCGCAAACGTTGGGGAAGCGTATGATAAGCTGCATGTCCCCCGCCCTTTTTCACACTGTGCCTGAGGCCCCGTCCACACTACTGCGTTTTCGTTTAAAAACTGAGAATTACGGAGACAGAGCGTATTTAGGCCACGCCCACAGCGGGGGAAAACAATCCAACTGTCTCCATTGACTTTGCGTCTGTAGATTTCTCACAAATTCAACAAAAGTTGGCATTGTAAATCATCCCGCTGCTCCGCGATCTGCACCGCCATCACAGACACCGTTACGCCGCCTTCACACTGGCAGTTTAATTCTGCTCCGTAATACGCAATACGTTCCCAACGGACGTCATACTACGGACGCGGGTAGAACAAAAATGGCGTAGAGATTAAAAGTTGATTCTGTCAGTTCTGTATGATCTCTCTGATGAGGGTTATGCTGCGTGAGGAAAGTTGCTGAGGACGTTGACATGTCAGGTCGGCTAAAAAATGTGATATAGTGGTCAATAGTTCAATGTCTACCTTCAATTTAATTGTATTAACTGCCCTTATAAACGTTAGAAAGTCATGAAAATAAAAAATGACATGACAACTTATCGTTATAAAATCATTATTTATTTTATTCAAAGTTAATAATTCTGGTTTGTTTATCAGTACTATAGCAACGCTCAACTTCCGCTGGAATTGTCGGATAGGAACCGTCCGTAGCTTTTCGCAGGAGTTCAAATTTTTGAACGCATCCGGATGACCAACGGACACGATTTTCTTCGCACCGCACTCGGTCGGACACGTTTCGGACCCATTCGCATGCGGTCTGCGAATCTCCATAGGAAAGGAATGACTTCCGGTCGTTTCGCAGCCGCATCGGAGCTGATTTCAACTGCCAGTGTGAAGGCGGCGTTAGAAAGCGCTCTCTCTCTCTCTCTCTCTCTCTCTCTCTCTCCTGTACAATGTTGTCGGATCCAAATATGGTCATTTCCTTTTAATCAGCACCCAATCGCGAAAGTTAAAGGGGAGATTTAACTCTAAATGAGCAATCTCATTGGCCTGATGCAAATCTTTAGAGCCCGTTTTGCGTTTTCTCAAAATGACTTTTCTCTCAAACTCCACGTCTGAAATCTCCACTTCAGTAGCACCTATATACACCAAACTTTCCAGTCTTGTACCTAGTTTTATTATGAAGACTATTACAGATGGATTTGTAAATATATTATTCCTAGCTTGATTTATATAACATTGTTTTTCTAAAATCTATTTAAGGCTATCTGATTACAGGATAACAAAAGTAGATATCCATAAATATCTATTTTTTATGTGAACACAATGAGAAAAAAAAATATTTTAAACCTGGCTTTATCTAATAGGCTACTCAGATTTCGTTTTTTTTTATATATATATATATATAATATATGCAAATTCGCACATATTTAATTAGATAATGCCTAATAATTTAAGACTTGAGACTTGACTTGGACTTCCAAAAAATGACTTGTGAACATCTCTGGCAGAGACTGAAATCAGCACGAGCGCCACTCGTCACTTTATGTGTGTGTGTGTGTGTGTGTGTGTGTAGTTGATGAAGGCTATCAGCTCTCCTGATGACCACCGTCTCGCTTGCGTGGATATAATCAGAACTGTAGGTTTTCCTGTGAACAACACAGACAGTTTTCTCCTAAAAGCGCCTGCAGAAGGCTCGACATGTCCAGGTCTGAGACGACACACACACACACACACACAGTCTGTCTCCCCGAGGCTCTCTCACACACACACACACCTCTTACAGGACGTTCTTTGCTGCTGAAAACTCCTTACGGTGTTAATTACCCTTCACGCAGGGGTCCTTCTGTTCCTCTCTCGTCTGTTTTTGTGTTTGTCATGATCCGATCTGTCTTTTCCTTCTCTTTTCTGTGGTAAATGAGCTTTAAATGTCGAGACGAAACATGCCTCTAGAGCGAATGGGTTCGCTTGCAGGGTTACGCTGATGCTATAATTATTACATCGCTAAAATAAATAATATTATTCTGCATGAATCCCCTGCCATTAGCTGTGATGCGGCGTCATTAGGAATTAAAGCAGAACCCAGTAAATCTTTAAGTGTGTCCTGAATAGCAGAAGACTCTGCCATGAGGAGTTACTGTGAGTGCTGATACAGACGCCACTAATACGTTTGGGTGGATGAGTTAATGCTTGGTACATTTATTTTTATTTTATTATGAACATTTATTATTTCTAGTTATAACATTTAACCTTTCAGTTTGTATGCATTTGTCTTACTAGAATTTGTATTGTGAACATTTTAATTTGTATAATTTTTTCTTTATTATGAACATGCCAAGTTGTATAAATTAACTTTTTATTTTTTATTTTATTCAATTTTTTATCAACATTTTAAGTTGTAATAAATTAGCCATTTATTTTATTTTATTTTATTTAAAAAAAATGTTTATCCCTGTTGCAACATTTCAAGTTGTATAAATTATCATTTTACCATTTTTTTTAAACCTTGTTGTAACTTTTAACATTTTAGGTTGTATAAATGAACATTTAATTTTATTATATTTTTAACCCTTTTGTAATATTTAACCTTTCAGTTTGTATGCATTTGTCTTACTAGAATTTGTATTGTGAACATTTTAATTTGTATACATTTTTCTTTATTATGAACCTTATTATATCATTTAACATGCCAAGTTGTATAAATTAACTTTTTATTTTTTATTTTATTCTATTTTTTTAATCCCTGTTGTAACATTTTACATTTCAAGTTGTAATAAATGACCCATTTATTTTATTTTATTTTATTTTAATATTTTTTATCCCTGTTGCAACATTTCAAGTTGTAAAAAATGACCCATTTATTTTATTTTATTTTAATATTTTTTTATCCCTGTTGCAACATTTCAAGTTGTAATAAATTACCAATTTATTTTATTTTATTTAATTTTAATATTTTTTTTTTAAGTTTTAATTTCATTTTTTTAACCTTATTGAAACTTTTAACATTTTAGGTTGTATAAATGAACATTTTATTTGATTATATTTTAAACCCTTTTGTAATATTTAACCTTTCAGTTTATATACATTTGTCTTACTAGAATTTGTATTATGAACATTTCAATTTATATAAATTTTTCTTTATTATGAACCTTATTATATCATTTAACATGCCAAGTTGTATAAATAAACTTTTTTATTTTTTATTTTATTCTATTTTTTTAATCCCTGTTTTAACATTTTACATTTCAAGTTGTAATAAATGACCCATTTATTTTATTTTATTTTAATATTTTTTATCCCTGTTGCAACATTTCAAGCTGTAATAAATTACCCATTTATTTAATTTTATTTAATTTTAATATTTTGCAACATTTCAAGTTTAATTTTTTTAACCTTCTTGAAACTTTTAACATTTTAGGTTGTATAAATGAAAATTTTATTTGAATATATTTTTAACCCTTTTGTAATATATAAGTTTGTATTTATTTTATTGCATTGTATTTTTATTGTGTTGTAGTTTATTTTTAACCCTATTTTAACATTTATAAGTTTAGCTTGCATTAATTTACTTTAGTTTATGTTTTTATTATGAACCGTATTATGATTTATATAGCACAGTTTAATACAACTCACGTTGCCCAAAGCGCTTCACAATCACAAACTAAAAAACACACATGATCCACACACAGACAATAACCCATTTCAGAAAGCTCTCCATTTGAATTTAAAAGATGTTGTTTTAACATGTGTAAAGATTTGGCAGATCGAATAGATTTAACATTTTTGATTTTTTGTTTTATTGTAGTTCATGTTTAACCCTATTGTAAAGTGTATCCAGAAGATCTGAGTTTAATGAGTAAACCGTGTCTCACTCTTCAACTCTTCCAGACGTGTATTATAATCGTGTGTATTTCCTCTTCTCTTGATGTGTGCTTGTGACATCACTGAAGGTCACGCTCTTGTCCCAGACTGGCCGCTAACTCTGTTTTTATTCACTTGCCAAAGCCAAATTTCACTCTCATCCGCTGTTTGGCCGGTGTTCACGTTGGATCCAGTTGAAAGGCTTTAGTTTTGAGTCTTAATGCTGATCCTCGGAGAGAGAGAGAGAGAGAGAGAGAGACATGCGTGTCTCTGTTAGCGCAGAGTTTGATGTCTAACGCTGAGTCACTGTGTGTATGCTAACTCTACATGCTAATGGATCTTTGTTTCTAATCCTCTTATAAGCGACGCTAAGCTACAGAGTCATTTAACGGCTGTTACGGGCAGGACTGGCTGTCTGGGACAGAATAGATGTGTGTGTGTGTGTGTGTGTGTGTGTTGTGTTGTCCAGGTTAAACCTGCTCTGCTGAACAGAATAGCTGTGCGCTGGCCTCTTCCTGTGGTTGCTATGGAAACGTAAAGTCGCTTGAAGATATTCAGTCCCCTCTCAAGAGTGTAGAGCTCGACTGGAATGACAACGTTGTGCCGCATTGTGTGTGTGTGTGTGTGTGTGTGTGTGTGTGTGTGTGTGTGTGTACATAGCTATAGTTTGCAAAACACAACTGTCCTCAGAAGTTATCTAAACCCAGATCCTGCATTTGGGACTGTCCTCACTGGAGAAATGCTTGATAATTATGAGTTGTGTGTGTGTGTGTGTGTGTGTGTGTGTGTGTGTGTGTGCGGTGTCGTCTGACAGTTCCCATCTACCCGTCTGTCTGTCCCTGAGGTTACCTAGAGGACCATCTGTCTGTCTGTCAGTCTTTATTTACAACTACTGCTCATAACTCGTGTGTGTGTGTGTGTAGGGATGAGGGAACTGTCTCCTCCTCCGCTGAATCTGAAGCGTCTGTACGGAGAGACTCTGGAGACGGAGCCGCTGTTGCTGATCATCTCAGCCGGAGCCGATCCGTCACAGGAGCTCCAGGACCTCGCCAGTCAGACCGTGGGCCGAGAGAACTACCATGAGGTCCAACTCACACGCACGCACACACACACACACACACTCTCACTCACTCACTCACTCACTCACTCACACTCACTCACTCTCTCTCACTCTCTCACTCACTCACTCACTCTCTCACTCACTCACCCACTCACTCTCTCTCACTCTCTCACTCTCTCACTCACTCACTCACTCACCCACTCACTCTCTCTCACTCTCTCACTCTCTCACTCACTCACTCACTCACTCACTCACCCACTCACTCTCTCTCACTCTCTCACTCACTCACTCACCCACTCACTCTCTCTCACTCTCTCACTCACTCACTCACTCACACTCTCTCTCACTCACTCACATTTCTCTATCTATCTCTCTCTCTCTCACTCACACACACACCACACACCACACTCACTCACACTCTCTATCTCTCTCACACACACACACTCACTCACTCGATCACTCATACTCTCTCTCTCTTTCTCTCTCTTTCACACACACACACACACACACACACACACACACACGCATAGACACATACACAAACACAGAAATACACACACTCTCTCTCTCTCTCTCTCTCTCTCATACACTCAAACACGCATAGAAACACACGCACACTCACTGACACAGACACACACACACACACATTCTCACTCAACACATAGACACTCTCACACACACACAAACACACTCACTCAATGACTCAGACACACTCACACACACATACACTCTTTCTCTCTCTCTCACACACACACACACTCTCTCTCTTTCTCTCTCTCTCACACACACACACACAAACACACACACTCACACCACACACTCACTCAAACACATAGACACTCACACACACACATACACTCACACACACAGATACATACACACACACACAAGACCTCTATACACACTGTATAATCAGATATATTACACTACACACAAATACACCTGCTGGAAAGCAGGGTAATTATCATTAACTAAAACCATTAAAAAAAACATTTTCATTACTTTAAATGAAATAAACATTTACTGAAATAAAAAACAAAGTATTTTTAAAAAGCTTATTTTATTTCAGCTAGTGGCCAATTCAACATTTCTCATGTCCATTTAGTTTAAGGTAAAGCACTAAAGCAACTAAATAATAAAACATAAATGAAATGTTCATCAGTTTTCAGTGTCACATGATCCTTCAGAAATCACTCTAATATGATGATCAGATGCTCAAGACACATGTATGATTATTATCAGTGTTGAGAACAGTTGTGCTGCTTCATATTTCTGGAGAATCTGTTTATTTTCCAGGATTCTTGATGAACATAAAGTTGTAAAAGAACAGCGTTTATTATAAATAGAGCCTTTTGTAACGTTATGATTGTCCGTCCTGCCACTTCTGATCAGCTGAGTGAAGTGTTGTGTTGTGTAAGTGAAGGTGGCGATGGGTCAGGGTCAGGCTGATGTGGCTCTGCAGGCGCTCAGAGAGTGTGTGCGCTCGGGGGAATGGCTGTGCTTGAAAAACCTGCACCTCGTCACGCCGTGGCTCCCCCTACTGGAGAAGGTATCTACTTCCTGTCCGTGTGTGAAGGTAAACGAGGAGCAAAACTCCAGAGCGTGTAAATGTGAACTTATACGCTAAAATTTACACTCACAACTCCCATAAGAAAACCTTTAAAATACAAGTTGAATGTTGAGATTTGCACTCTCATACAATAGTCACAAACATGCATTCTGAATTTAAAGGAGTAGTTCACCTTAAAAAAAAAAAACTTTTGCTGATAATTTACTCACCCCCATGTCATCCAAGATGTCCACGTCTTTGTTTCTTCAGTCGAAAAGAAATGAAGGTTTTTGATGAAAATATTCCAGGATTTTCTCCATATAATGGACTTCAATGGGGACCAAACGGTTCAAGGTCCAAATGAGAGTTTCAGTGCAGCTTCAAAGGGCTTTAAACGACACCAGACGATGAATAAGGGTCTTATCTAGCCAAATGATTTCAAAAATAAATGACAAAGTTTAAGTTTTATAAGCACAAATGCTCGCCTTGCTCTGTTCTGTGATGCGCGTTCGTGACTCTCCAGTTCGAACTCGTTCATCAAAACGTACAAATCTTTTTTCAATTAATTTGGTTGATTCAATGAACAAAATGACTCGAAAAAAGATTTGTTTGGCTAGATAAGACCCTTATTCATCATCTGGTGTCGTTTAAAGCCCTTTGAATCTGCACTGAAACTCTCTTTTGGACCTTGAACCGTTTGGACCCCATTGAAGTCCATTATATGGAGAAAATCCTGGAATGTTTTCATCAAAAACCTTCATTTCTTTTCGACTGAGGAAATAAAGACGTGGACATCTTGGATGACATGGGGGTGAGTAAATTATCAGCAAAAGTGTTTTTTTTTAAAGTGAACTACTCCTTTAAAGCTGCACACAAGTAGTCACAAATGTGTAAAATGCCATTTAAAAAAAAAAAATGACAGACACAAACTTGTAGTACATGGTTGCACTTATTCTTTCATTCACGTTCACAGTACATCCACAATTAGGGCAACTTCTCAAATGCGTCACTCTTTTCGATATATATTAGATGCAAAACTAACGTGCACTTGCAGCTCAGTGGCGGCGATAGAGAAAGGCGGGGTCAGGGGGTGAAAGGAGGCGTCCTATTGGTTGCTCTCGAGTTTTGCTTCTCTTTTACCTTTGAATCTGTGTTTCATTATGAAGTTCTCTCTCTCTCTCTCTCTCTCTCTCTCTCTGTCAGTCTTCTCTTGTGTAATTAATTATAGCTGAAATGACTGTTGTTGTGAAGTGAGAGTGAATCTGTGTGTGTGAGAGATTACTTGCACATACTTTAATTGCTTTTTGTTTTCATTTCTCTGCTCCTTCGAAACGTGTGTGTGTTGTGTAACAGATCTGTAATGGGTTTGGAGTCAATCAGATGAGGCTGTGAGAGAGTCAATCCCTATAAAACACACAGAAAAGATTGTTATTGGTTTGATGCTTTGCTTTTATTGATTTAATTTGTTGTATTGAGACATCTAGTGTGTGTGCAGGAGATCAACAGTATGAAACCCAAAGCCGGCTTTAGACTCTGGTTGACTGCTGAGGTCCATGCGAAGTTCCCTCCCATACTCCTCCAGTCCAGCCTGAAGATCACCTATGAGGTCAGTGTGTGTCGATTTTAATCTGTTCTCACTTAATGATCTTAAATCCCAAGAAGTGTTTTCAGATGATCCGTCAGCAAAATGTCACTAAACATTATGTGTGGTGCGCCTAAATCACAGTAAGCTTTGTGGGTTACACTTTATTGTTACAGTGTGATTATACACTCACCTAAAGGGTTAATGTCTCGATAATGCAATTATCTAATCAACCAATCACATGGCAGTTGCTTCAATGCAGTTAGTGGTGTGGTCCTGGTCAAGACATTTATTTATTTAAGCAATTTAAGCAATGATTTAACTTTTTTTTACATCATTAAAGAGTTATTATTATGACATTATGATTATTCTACAAATATTTGTACAGAAATCAGTTAATTTCAGCTTTAATATTACAGTAATACACCAATAGATTGGGTTTTCTGTGCAGGTTACAGCATTAGTGTTTTCCTTGAGCAAAATTGACCTGACATACACTACCGGTCAAAAGTTTTAGATCGGTAAGATTTTTTTATGTTTAGTTTCTTCTGCTCACCAAGGCTGCAATTATTTGATAAAAAAAAACAGTAATATTGTGAAATATTATTACAATTTAAAACAGCGGTTTTCTATGTGAATATATAGTGAAGTGTAATTTATTCCTGTGATCAAAGCTGAATTTACAGCATCATTACTCCAGTCTTCAGTGTCACATGATCCTACAGAAATTATTATAATATGATGCTCAAGAAACATTTATGATTATGATCCATGTCCATGTTACATTTTTATTTCAGGATTCTTTGATGAATAGAAAGTTCAAAAGAACAGAATTGATCTGAAATGGAAAGCTTTTGTAACATTAATCATCACTACCATTCAAAAGTTTGGGGTCAGTAAGAATTTATTTTTTATTTTGGGGGGAAAGAAATTAGAAAATACTTTTAATCATCGAGGAGGATGAGTTAAATCGATCAAAAGTTACAGTAAAGACATTTATAATGTTAGAAAAGATTATATTTGAAATAAATGCTGTTTTTTGAACTTTCTATTCATCATAGAATTTTGGGGGGGAAAATGGTGCACGACTGTTTCCAACATTGAAAATAATAATTTATGTTTTTTGAGCATAAAATCAGCATATTAGAATGATTTCTGAAGGATCATGTGACACTGAAAACTGATGTGTAATCAGCAACAGTAAATGCTTTCAAATTACATTTTAAAATATATTAATTTAGAAAACAGTCCTTTTAAATTGTCATAATATTTCACAATATTACTGTTTGTCTTTTTTTTTTTCATCAAATAAAGCAGCCTTGGTGAGCAGAAGAGACTTCATTTAAAAACATAAAAAAATCGTACTGATCTAAAACTTTTGACCGGTAGTGTATATCCAAATGAATTGATATCGAGTGTAATCGAATCACAAGCTTTGGGAAATTTGTGTCCATTCTCAGCCATAGAGTAACAGAGATGCGTCTCACATCCACTAATAACGTGTGTGTGTGTGTGTGTGTGTGTGTTCAGGCTCCTCCAGGGCTCAAGAAGAACCTGACGAGGACATATGAATCCTGGAGCACGGAGCAGATCAGTAAAGGTGGTCACCTGACCCGAGCTCAGTCTCTCTTCTGCCTGGCCTGGTTCCACGCGGTGTGTCAGGAGAGACGCAACTATATTCCTCAGGTACACACCTGTCACATGACTGTAGAGACGCAACTATATTCCTAGGGCCCTATAATTTCTGCAATCGCGGACGGAATCGCGGAATTGGCCAATTAACGCGGAATTGGCCAATTAACGCGGAATCAAGTGTTAGCACGGAATTTCGCGGAATTTTACATATTTGGAATGAAATTCGGTTTTTGTGTGGGAGAAGAACGTATTTCTGGGAAAAATGCAGAGAGACGGGTAAGCAAATCTGGGCGAGACAACCCCTCCCGTCATTTCAGCTCATGACGGCATCAAAACAATAGCCGCGTTTCCACTGAAATCATGGCGAAGCGGCTTTCCACGGCTCTGCTTTCGTCGGCGAAAAAGTTAAGAAACTCGTCGCACACACACACACACACACACACACAAAGTCCCCTCCGTGCACGTCTGTCTATGAGGTGCCGGGCCGAGTGTGTGCCCGAGTCAAGAGCGTGCGAGAGAGACGAAACAGTACGCGCGAGAGAGACGGAGTGTGTCCGAGAGAGCGCTCGACACTGCGCATACTATGCCCGAAATAGTATTGACAGTAATGTCACATACTATTTAGGATGGATAGTATGCACATTACGACGCAGCTAGAGTGTGACTTTTATTTTAACTTATATAAACTAATATAATTTATTTTTACAGGACAGTTTAAAGCTCATAACCATATTTTGTAGTTACTTGAAGTACTTAGAGTGCAGTGTTATGTTGCATCATGCAGTATTTGTCATTTTAAGAGTAAATGCCTATTTTATTTGTGTACATTTTAATCATTAACATTAAAAGCTCTTTTTACAACTAAAATAACAGTAAAGGGTAAAAAAAAACTAAATTGGAAAAAATTAAAATGGAAAAAACGGAATTTGCAAAAATTAAAACGGAAAAAACGGAATTTGGGAAAAAATAAAACGGATTTTATAGAGCCCTATATTCCTCAGGTACACGCCTGTCACATGACTGTAGAGACGCAACTATATTCCTCAGGTACACACCTATGGGAGCATAACTGGCTGCTTTCAAATGATTATTGAACTGATTATTCCAAGCTTTTGTCCTGTAGTGTACATATGTGCGTCTCTTCCTCAATCAATCACTGGAATTCAAACAGAAGCTCTTGGATCTGTTTGAATAATTAATTCGGCTCTGAATTAAACTACTACGCGCCAGGCCTTTGAAGAGCTGCATTTAATTAGCCGATGCCGATGCGTTTCCCTTTCGTAATGTGTCTCGCACACTCCATCTAACTCTCTCTCCTAAAGTGGGCAGGATCTAATAAGCTGTGTTGGATTTTTCAGGCTGATAGTGTCTCTTAACAGTGGCTGTGTGAAGGGAAATATGTAAACTACTATTAGTAGTACTATATATATATAATCAGGGCTTGACATTAACTTTTTTGCTGACCAGCCACTGTGGCTAGTGGTTATATATAGATATTTTTAAAGGGGTGGTGATGTAGATGCAAAATAAATCTCTGATGAGTGTGTGTGTGAAGTTTTAGCACAAAATACCCCACAGATATTTTTATATAGCATGTTAAATTTGTCACTTTTTGAGGTTTTGCAAAAACGCACCGTTTTGTGCCTGGCCCTTTAAATGCAAATGAGCTGCTGCAGAGGGCGGGGTCACAAGGAGAGACTCAAGAAGAAGTCTCAACACGTAAAATACAACAGGACGTCTCTGAATGGTTAGTTGATGAATTTATGTTGCTGATGTGGAGTTAGCTATCTTCAATTAGCATATTCTGTCATGATAATCTATAAATCGCTTGTATAGGAGCTTGTATGGATGCTAAAGTTTGAGTTGACTCACAAACGTACTCGAATACAACAGCTCTTCCTCGACTCAACATGGACTGCGTGTTCCCGTGGGCGGGGTTTATGTACATTTTAGGGTTGGTGATGTCACTAACCCGGGAGGAAGCTTGTGTAGTTCCTTCCAGCCGTTTGTTGTAGTCCTTTCTTTAAAAGCAAATATCTCCCTTTGCTTTGAACTTTGAGCGTCGTTACTTTGATAATGTCGTTTATGCTCAAACAGCAACATTTCACACTAACCAAAGTTAGACAAGTGAAATCATACTTTACCACCCTTTAATATCGTCTCATAACTTTGCAGCCAGTATATTAGGCTACTGTCACTTTAAGAGCTGACGCACAGATCCGTTATACTGCTTTATAGCCAATATAGTGTCTTTATGAAATTAGTAGTGTGAATTAGTAAAATGTGCTTAATACGCGCAATCCCACACCGAAATTATACACCAACAATATTGTAAAAAGGTTACATTTTATTGGTGCAACAGACTGTCACTGGCAGTCCCTTATGAAAATGAACATTACAGTGACCATATTTTAAATAGGCCTATAATATTTTGTAGATTGCCATGGTTACCACAAGTAAACATTTTACCCATGTGTAAAAATATAATTTAATAAATTCGAATTAAGGCATTTTGAATGTTAAAATGCCTTTCTAATATAATGTTTAAATGGGTATCATTACCCATTTTAATCTTAGTAATTCAATCATTTAAGAAATGTTTAAATTTAAAAGTTCAGTTTAGAAGTATCGGTATTGGTATTGGTATCGACGATACTGGCCGAAAGTATCGGTATCGTATCGAAAACAAAATAAGTGGTATCGCCCGTGACTAGTTAGTGGGTGCTGATGTCAAGCCCTATATATATTATATATATATATATATATATAGGGCTTGTATATAATTTATATATATATATATAATTTATATATAATTTTATATATTATATATATATTATTTTATATATTTTATATATATAATTCATATATATAATAATATAATTTATATATATAATATATATATATATAGATATATAAATTATAATTGTATATAATTTATATATATATATATATATATATATATATATAATTTATGTAATTTATATATATATATATATATATATTTATGTAATTTATATATATATATATTATCTGTAAATATCTTTTAATCTTCGACTTGATACTGAATTACCAGTAGCTTTTACATGATCAGCAGGCGTTTAAAAAGGTTTCTTTTATACATTTGCTTATATTAAATCATGCCTGTTGTGAGAAGTCTGGGAACAATTTCGAGCCAAAGAAAAGAATAATGACCTCACGCTGTCCTTGGAGATTCATGTCTGGCTTTTGAAACATGACATTTAATCATGATTCAGAGACTTTTCAAGCACGAGTTTCTATTGCACAGGCTGAATATTTGAAGATGAACTGATGATGATGATGATGTGTGTGTGTTGCACAGGGTTGGACGAAGTTCTACGAGTTCTCTCTGTCAGACCTGAGAGCCGGCTTTGAGATCATCGACCGTCTGTTTGAAGGTGTGTGTTGGTCATGTGTGTATCAGGGTGTTTTTAATCTTTGCACATGTGAGGATTTTCCGTGTGTGTGGTGTGTGTTTCAGGTGGGAAGGTGTTTCAGTGGGAATTCGTGCACGGTCTCCTGGAAAACGCCATCTATGGAGGCCGCATCGATAACGTGTGTGACCTGCGGATCCTTCGCTCGTACCTACAGCAGTTCTTCAACGCTCAACTCCTCGCGCAGTCGCACACACACTCTCGTGTCAAGAAAACACACGCTTTCCCGGCTCAGATACGCCTGCCCAACTCCTGCAGCATAGCGGTCAGTTAACAAGAATCAAGCGTTGTGTGTGTGCTTTGTGGACTGATTCTACCCACAATCCTTTGCACGATTGGATTGAAGTCACCCTGCTGTGTGTGCAGGACTATCGTGCGGTGGTGGACGCTCTTCCTGAAGACGACAAACCCAGTTTCTTCGGCCTGCCTGCAAACATCGAGCGCTCTTCACAGAGAATCGTCAGCTCACAGGTGTGTGTGTGTGTGTTTCTGTAGAGGTCATGAGGGTCAGAGGTGTTTTGAGAATATTGTGCTGAGCAGGGCATTCCTCTGTGTGTGTGTGTGTGTGATTGTTCTTTTCTGTGGATATCATCAAGTGCATTCACACACAGGATTGTCTTCCAATATTTTTTACTGAAAAAGACTTTCTTTACACATAATTTATGAACATTTCTAGTAGGGGTGGAGTCAAATCCGGTATTCGGAAAGGCACAAATAATGTGTTTTTTACGAATACTTATTCCGAACAAATACTTAAAAATATATTTGTATTCGGGAACGAGAAATACTTTATATCAAAAAGCTGCGTTCCTCACGAGACCGCAGTGCGCGAGTTGAGTGACGTTCAGGAAGAGGACAGAGAGGGCTCGGCTGAGCCAAAAAAACACTTAACTGCATCACTATTTTTGTTGAATAGATGTTTGTACCTTAACTAGGTTCCGGAGGCAGTTTATAACTTTCGGGAAGCGGAGTTTGATCGGGAGTATATTCCTTTATTGACGTCTGCAGACGGGTGCTCTCCTGTTCGCTCTGTTTACGTAGCTCTGTTAGCTCGGTAACTAGGGTTGGGTATCGTTTGAATTTGAACGATTCTGATTCCGATTCCTTGTTTCGATTCCGGTTCCTAACGATTCTCGATTCCGATTCTTTTAAGAGGCAGGGTCAAAAAAGTTTAGCTAACCTTGCTAACCAACGGCCTTTCTGAAGGAAATACTCCTTCTGTAAAAATACTCCTTTTGGCACAAATTTTGCATTTTGCCGAGATTTTGTTATTTTTAGAAAAGTGAAGCCACACTTTGGATCGCCGACGTAAGCTACTCATGTTCGACTCGCGCGGTTATGCCAACACTTCCGGTAGACGCTTCTTCGTTGGTGTTGTTCAGCGGTTTCTTCTTCCGCTCGGCGGACTGTGAATATCGAAACTAGGAATCGAAATTTTAACTTTTGAACGATTCCGGGAAAAACGAAAAGTTAGTCTCGGTTCCAATCGATACTCGATTCTCGATACCCAACCCTATCAGTAACGGTAATTATTTGTTTCTTATAGACCATTTCACAAGATGTAAACAACACTGGTCCAGAAGCACTTCCTGTTTCAGTTTTTTAACACTACATAAAAGCTGGGATAAAATACAACCAACAGAACATTTAAAACTGAATCAAAAAGTTAAACAAACATCTTTAAGATGTTTTCTTTACATGTGAAATAACGAAAACAGTTACAAACTGAAACAGGAAGTGCTTCTGGACCAGCGTTGTTTACATCTTGTGAAATGGTCTATATTGCTTGGTTGAATTCTAATGTAGAATGCGGTCTGTTATTATAACAGACACACCGTTGCCATGAAAAACAGAGCGTTGCCATGGATTCTAAACGTAGAGACAGAACTTACTATTTTTATTTTTTAGCGGAAGCAATACAACCATTTTTTAAATCAATAAACTCCTTTTTATATCCATATTTTGAGTCAAATTATTGATTTATTTGGTAGGTGGCCATGTAATAAGCGGGGTAATGTAGACCGAGGCGGTTGTTATAGCGAATACAAACCCGAATATGCGAATACGCGTCGGGCTCATAATCAACCTCCTCGCTATACAGGGGTTGGACAATGAAACTGAAACACTGGCCAATGTTGGAGGTTTCACATCTATATGCCTGGCGGCCAATCTTCAGAGTGAAGCACGGGTGGGTCAGTGATGGTTTGAGCTCCAATATCATGACAATCCTGATTGTATTTGATGGACACGACACTGCCGAGGACTACCAAACCCTTCTGGAGGATCATGAGCACCTGATGCTCATGATCATGCACCAACACACACAGCAAGACTTGTGACAGAAGGGTTTGATGAAGATGAAAGTGACGTTGAACATCTCCCATGGTCTGACAGTCACCAGATCTGAATATTATTGAGGTGTTTTGGAGGAGCGAGTCCACCAGCATCATATAGTGACCTGGACACTGTTCTGGAAGAGGAACGGCTCATAATCCCTCTGGTCACTGTGAAGGACTTCTATCTGTCAATTGGTGCTGTATTTGGATGCAAAATGAGGCCCTCACCATTCTAACAAGTTATTGTGTAGTAAAACCAGGTGTTTCAGTTTTTTTGTCCAACCCCTGTACATTATCCCTAACTCATTCTGTCTGTTCAGCGTCCTCCTCCACCGTGGTGTTGGGGTTCATAATGTTCACAATTGTATTTTATTAGTTGTTGGTTTAACCATGGCTCATGAGGTAATGGCTGACTGTTATTTTCTTTTCAATGACTTTTCTTGTTACATGTTCATTGCTGGATTTATAGACCATTTCACAAGATGTAAACAACGCTGGTCCAGAAACACTTCCTGTTTCAGTTTGTAACTGTTTTCTTTATTTCACATGTAAAGAAAACATCTTAAAGATGTTTGTTTAACTTTTTGATTCAGTTTTAAATGTTCTGTTGGTTGTATTTTATCCCAGCTTTTATGTAGTGTTAAAAAACTGAAACAGGAAGTGCTTCTGGACCAGTGTTGTTTACATCTTGTGAAATGGTCAACCAATATTGCATATCCATAATTATTATAATGGATATACACTATAAAGTAAATTAAAGATTTTTATGCCTATTTTGAATTTTACTCGAATACAAATACTTTTCCCCCCGAACAAATACAAATACAGATACAAATACCGGCTGCTTTGCACACCCCTAATTTCTAGCTAGTTAGACTCTCTTGGGTACTATATTTGTGAGGATATCTTCAAGAGGATTTCTAAAAGCCAACGAATGAAAAGTCTTAGCTGGTTCTATCGAAATTTAATGTATGCAAATACACGCAAGAAAGACGACCGATTACAGTTACGCTGGTATAAGATCACGATGAAATCACACGCTAACATTGTAAGTCAACGGGAGAATGCGAAACACAAAAACTAAACATTTGAATGGATTCTGCATTTTAAGTACCGTAGTTTAAGCCGAATGAATTATGGTTACAAAAGTATGCGTGCGATGCTTGACTGAGCAATGCTAGTGTTCTGCTGGGTTCGTTGCTGAACAGATGCTAATGTGTTGAGGGTGGCTCTCTTGTTTCATATTGAATGAAATACACAAATCAGTCCCATTCACTGTCACTCTTTCTTGACTTCACACACACAGTCTCTTTGTGTGTTCAGACCGTTACACTGCACTCCTATTTGTCACTGTCAGGTTTAGACTGATCTTTGTCTCTGCTGCTGTAGGGACGGTGTGTGTGTGTGTAGCTCTTGTAATGAGACCAATTTATCATGTGTAAGAGTCGCCCACCCCTTCACTGCAGTTTGCCACAATCACAGAGAGATGGAGGATAGTATACAGTGAGATCTAATGTGTGTGTGTGTGTGTGTTTGCACAGGTGATTTCTCAGCTGAGGATTTTGAGCAGGTCCGTAGCGGCCGGCTCCAAATTCGACAGAGAGATCTGGTCTAACGCACTCTCACCCGTGCTCAACCTGTGGAAACGTCTCAATCAGGTATTTATCAGCATTATAGTAAACATGTTGCATCATAGTGTACAGTTATACTCCTTTCTGTCCTAGAAGTCAATGTACAACATTAAAGGATTAGTTCACTTTTGAAAAAACTTTTGCTGATAATTTACTCACCCCCATGTCATCCAAGATGTCCACGTCTTTCTTTCTTCAGTCGAAAAGAAATGAAGGTTTTTGATGAAAACATTCCAGGATTTTCTCCATATAATGGACTTCAATGGGGTCCAAATGAGAGTTTCAGTGCAGCTTCAAAGGGCTTTAAACGACACCAGACGATGAATAAGGGTCTTATCTAGCTAAATAAATAAATAAATAAATAACAAAGTTTAAGTTTTATAAGCACAAATGCTCGCCTTGCTCTGTTCTGTGATGCGCGTTCGTGACTCTCCTGTTCGAACTCGTTCATCAAAACGTACAAATCTTTTTTCAATTAATTTGGTTGATTCAATGAACAAAATGACTCGAAAAAAGATTTGTTTGGCTAGATAAGACCCTTATTCATCATCTGGTGTCGTTTAAAGCCCTTTGAATCTGCACTGAAACTCTCTTTTGGACCTTGAACCGTTTGGACCCCATTGAAGTCCATTATATGGAGAAAATCCTGGAATGTTTTCATCAAAAACCTTCATTTCTTTTCGACTGAAGAAAGAAAGACGTGGACATCTTGGATGACATGGGGGTGAGTAAATCATCAGCAAAAGTTTTTTCAAAAGTGAACTACTCCTTTAATGTTGTACATTGACTTCTAGGACAGAAAGGAGTATAACTGTACACTATGATGCAACATTTTTACTAAAGTGCTGATAAATACCTGATTGAGACGTTTCCACAGGTTGAGCACGGGTGAGAGTGCGTTAGACCAGATCTCTCTGTCGAATTTGGAGCCGGCCGCTACGGACCTGCTCAAAATCCTCAGCTGAGAAATCACCTGTGCAAACACACACACACACACACATTAGATCTCACTGTATACTATCCTCCATCTCTCTGTGATTGTGGCAAACTGCAGTGAAGGGGTGGGCGACTCTTACACATGATAAATTGGTCTCATTACAAGAGCTACACACACACACACCGTCCCTACAGCAGCAGAGACAAAGATCAGTCTAAACCTGACAGTGACAAATAGGAGTGCAGTGTAACGGTCTGAACACACAAAGAGACTGTGTGTGTGAAGTCAAGAAAGAGTGACAGTGAATGGGACTGATTTGTGTATTTCATTCAATATGAAACAAGAGAGCCACCCTCAACACATTAGCATCTGTTCAGCAACGAACCCACCAGAACACTAGCATTGCTCAGTCAAGCATCGCACGCATACTTTTGTAACCATAATTCATTCGGCTTAAACTACGGTACTTAAAATGCAGAATCCATTCAAATGTTTAGTTTTTGTGTTTCGCATTCTCCCGTTGACTTACAATGTTAGCGTGTGATTTCATCGTGATCTTATACCAGCGTAACTGTAATCGGTCGTCTTTCTTGCGTGTATTTGCATACATTAAATTTCGATAGAACCAGCTAAGACTTTTCATTCGTTGGCTTTTAGAAATCCTCTTGAAGATATCCTCACAAATATAGTACCCAAGAGAGTCTAACTAGCTAGAAATTAGGGGTGTGCAAAGCAGCCGGTATTTGTATCTGTATTTGTATTTGTTCGGGGGGAAAAGTATTTGTATTCGAGTAAAATTCAAAATAGGCATAAAAATCTTTAATTTACTTTATAGTGTATATCCATTATAATAATTATGGATATGCAATATTGGTTGACCATTTCACAAGATGTAAACAACACTGGTCCAGAAGCACTTCCTGTTTCAGTTTTTTAACACTACATAAAAGCTGGGATAAAATACAACCAACAGAACATTTAAAACTGAATCAAAAAGTTAAACAAACATCTTTAAGATGTTTTCTTTACATGTGAAATAACGAAAACAGTTACAAACTGAAACAGGAAGTGCTTCTGGACCAGCGTTGTTTACATCTTGTGAAATGGTCTATATTGCTTGGTTGAATTCTAATGTAGAATGCGGTCTGTTATTATAACAGACACACCGTTGCCATGAAAAACAGAGCGTTGCCATGGATTCTAAACGTAGAGACAGAACTTACTATTTTTATTTTTTAGCGGAAGCAATACAACCATTTTTTAAATCAATAAACTCCTTTTTATATCCATATTTTGAGTCAAATTATTGATTTATTTGGTAGGTGGCCATGTAATAAGCGGGGTAATGTAGACCGAGGCGGTTGTTATAGCGAATACAAACCCGAATATGCGAATACGCGTCGGGCTCATAATCAACCTCCTCGCTATACAGGGGTTGGACAATGAAACTGAAACACTGGCCAATGTTGGAGGTTTCACATCTATATGCCTGGCGGTCAATCTTCAGATTGAAGCACGGGTGGATCAGTGATGGTTTGAGCTCCAATATCATGACAATCCTGATTGTATTTGATGGACACGACACTGCCGAGGACTACCAAACCCTTCTGGAGGATCATGAGCACCTGATGCTCATGATCATGCACCAACACACACAGCAAGACTTGTGACAGAAGGGTTTGATGAAGATGAAAGTGACGTTGAACATCTCCCATGGTCTGACAGTCACCAGATCTGAATATTATTGAGGTGTTTTGGAGGAGCGAGTCCACCAGCATCATATAGTGACCTGGACACTGTTCTGGAAGAGGAACGGCTCATAATCCCTCTGGTCACTGTGAAGGACTTCTATCTGTCAATTGGTGCTGTATTTGGATGCAAAATGAGGCCCTCACCATTCTAACAAGTTATTGTGTAGTAAAACGAGGTGTTTCAGTTTTTTTGTCCAACCCCTGTACATTATCCCTAACTCATTCTGTCTGTTCAGCGTCCTCCTCCACCGTGGTGTTGGGGTTCATAATGTTCACAATTGTATTTTATTAGTTGTTGGTTTAACCATGGCTCATGAGGTAATGGCTGACTGTTATTTTCTTTTCAATGACTTTTCTTGTTACATGTTCATTGCTGGATTTATAGACCATTTCACAAGATGTAAACAACGCTGGTCCAGAAACACTTCCTGTTTCAGTTTGTAACTGTTTTCTTTATTTCACATGTAAAGAAAACATCTTAAAGATGTTTGTTTAACTTTTTGATTCAGTTTTAAATGTTCTGTTGGTTGTATTTTATCCCAGCTTTTATGTAGTGTTAAAAAACTGAAACAGGAAGTGCTTCTGGACCAGTGTTGTTTACATCTTGTGAAATGGTCAACCAATATTGCATATCCATAATTATTATAATGGATATACACTATAAAGTAAATTAAAGATTTTTATGCCTATTTTGAATTTTACTCGAATACAAATACTTTTCCCCCCGAACAAATACAAATACAGATACAAATACCGGCTGCTTTGCACACCCCTAATTTCTAGCTAGTTAGACTCTCTTGGGTACTATATTTGTGAGGATATCTTCAAGAGGATTTCTAAAAGCCAACGAATGAAAAGTCTTAGCTGGTTCTATCGAAATTTAATGTATGCAAATACACGCAAGAAAGACGACCGATTACAGTTACGCTGGTATAAGATCACGATGATATCACACGCTAACGTTGTAAGTCAACGGGAGAATGCGAAACACAAAAACGAAACATTTGAATGGATTCTGCATTTTAAGTACCGTAGTTTAAGCCGAATGAATTATGGTTACAAAAGTATGCGTGCGATGCTTGACTGAGCAATGCTAGTGTTCTGGTGGGTTCGTTGCTGAACAGATGCTAATGTGTTGAGGGTGGCTCTCTTGTTTCATATTGAATGAAATACACAAATCAGTCCCATTCACTGTCACTCTTTCTTGACTTCACACACACATTCTCTTTGTGTGTTCAGACCGTTACACTGCACTCCTATTTGTCACTGTCAGGTTTAGACTGATCTTTGTCTCTGCTGCTGTAGGGACGGTGTGTGTGTGTGTAGCTCTTGTAATGAGACCAATTTATCATGTGTAAGAGTCGCCCACCCCTTCACTGCAGTTTGCCACAATCACAGAGAGATGGAGGATAGTATACAGTGAGATCTAATGTGTGTGTGTGTGTGTGTTTGCACAGGTGATTTCTCAGCTGAGGATTTTGAGCAGGTCCGTAGCGGCCGGCTCCAAATTCGACAGAGAGATCTGGTCTAACGCACTCTCACCCGTGCTCAACCTGTGGAAACGTCTCAATCAGGTATTTATCAGCATTATAGTAAACATGTTGCATCATAGTGTACAGTTATACTCCTTTCTGTCCTAGATGTCAATGTACAACATTAAAAGATTAGTTCACTTTTGAAAAAACTTTTGCTGATGATTTACTCACCCCCATGTCATCCAAGATGTCCACGTCTTTCTTTCTTCAGTCGAAAAGAAATGAAGGTTTTTGATGAAAACATTCCAGGATTTTCTCCATATAATGGACTTCAATGGGGTCCAAATGAGAGTTTCAGTGCAGCTTCAAAGGGCTTTAAACGACACCAGGCGATGAATAAGGGTCTTATCAAGCCAAACGATCGCTCATTTAATAAATAAATAACAAAGTTTAAGTTTTACAAGCTTAAATGCTTGTCTTGCTCTGTTCTGTGATGCACGTTTGTGACTCTCAAAATGAACGAATCTTTTTCCGAGTCAATTCGTTCGTTTCGTTCGTTGAATGAGCCAAATGACTCGGAAAAAGATTTGTTCATTTTGATTTAAAGCCAACCAAACATTTCCACCAGCCGTTTTGTGTGTAATATCCTGTGGGCGTGTCCTTCTGGGCTGACTCTAGGTTCTGATTGGTTATCGTTTCCCGCCGCTCTCTGCGTCGTGTGATCGATTCTTTCTGTGGTGTTTCAGGGTTCCTCATTGATCCATCAGAAAGTGGCTCTGCCCAGCGAGGGCGTCGGCTCTCCCGTTCTCTCATTCGTCCAGCTGGAGCAGTTTAATGGCATACGATTGGTCCAGAGCATCCACCAATCGCTGGCCTCGCTCAGTAAGGTCATCCGAGGCACGTCGCTCATGACTGCTGACGTACACAAGCTGGCCACTGCACTTCTGAACCAAGAGGTAAGAGTGAAGGAATCGAATCACTGCAGTCTCCTGCATATTACTTTGTTAAAGCAAGATACTAAAGGCAAAAACATCGTCAGTTTTTAGATTTTTTTGACTAGTGGAAAGAAAAGCACAATTTTAAGTGTTTATTTTATTGCATTTTATCTAGTTGCATCTGTTTATTTCAATTATAATACAGTCAAACCAGAATTTATTCAGACACCTTCATCATTTCTTACTTTCTCACAGTTTATTCGCAATAGTTTAGAAAATGGTAGTAAAATATGACAGAGTTATTAAATCAGTGGATATTTGACTGGTTTTGTCCGTCCTTCTGTTAGACTCACACAGATGAATTATGTTGAATATCTGTCAGCTGTTAAATTAGATAATACCAGTTTAGCTCAACCAATCACCAAGCAATGCTTCATGTTGTTCAGTGTGTGTGTAAAAAGAGCATCAGCAATTACAGAAAACATGATCAGGTTAAAGTGGCCGAATCATTTTTGGTCCCAAATGTTTATAGATATTACTGGTAGTCACTCGATGAAGAATTATGGGGATAATATATCAGTTTACTTTATTTTGCTCTCCTCACTTACTGTACATAAATGAACTATAGTGTCCTGCACACACTAGTAAACATAATTAGTAAAACATAACATAAAACACAAAACAAAACATAATTAGCACACACTAGTAAAAAAATATCAAAAATTATGTCTGGTGTCTGAATAATTTGACTGTACATATCTTTAAAGGCCTTAAGAGTCAGAAATCTCCACTTACTGTACTTAGACTAAACGTTATTGAGCAAAACACTTTGGCAGGCTGTGCTGATTTACCAACGCTCCTCTACTCTGTCTCTCAGTGTCCGTTGAGTTGGCAGAATAAATGGGAAGGCCCGGAAGATCCGATGCAGTATTTGCGAGCCGTGGTGTTCAGAGCGCTCGCAATTCAGGTAAACAAACTCAAATGTGTTGATTCAACTCAACTTTTATATATAAAGCACTTTCAAAACCATTAGAATGGACCAAAGTGCTGTCCATAAATAGTAAATGACTCTAAAATACATGAAATACCATTAAAACATGACACCAAGAAAATCATACAGCCACTCACAGCTCTCAGAAATAATCAAACACCAAAAGCTTGATAAAATAAGGAAGTCTTCAAGACGAGGATTTTAAAGATAATGGCAACACATTCCAGAGAGCGTTTGGGGTCGTGGAATGCGTTTGACCTCGTCCAGGTGTTCTGGAGTTTGTTTAGCCGTGTCTATGGGAGTGTTATGATCCTAAAACGCGGGAATGCCACCAAGCAGTCGTGTTTGTCCAGGATGCACCTGGCCTTGTAAATCCGACACGTATTTTCCTGCTGTTCACGCAAATTAGCTTATGCTATGCTCTCGATGAGCAATACATATTTTCCAGTTTTTCGACTTGAATCATGTTTTTTTGTACGGTCCTTACTCCCTATATAAATAAACGTATAAATAAAAATTTAAATAAATGCAGAGCGATCGTCGTGTCACGAGACGCACCGCCGCCGGCTCATCTCTCCTTGTTTTCCTCTCATAAACCCGTCAGAATGTGGGCCGCGGTGTCAGAGATGACTCATCTCAGTGCATGAGGCCTTTTTTCTGAGCTTTTACACTCTTTTGTGCTTTGGCTTTGGATAAAAGCGCTTTCTGAAAGGCATGCTGTGAAGCTGATGGCATGCGGCGTCTGATAACTCCGGGTCACAGCGCTCCGATTCTCGCATTACACAATGTAGATTAGTGATTTAACAACTATTCTGTGGAGCAGTCAAAAACACATTTACTGTGGACTGGGAACATGTTTTTAACTTTGATCATCTTTAATTGATATAAAGGTCAAATAATGTGCCCTTGTTCCTATAGTGCCTTATAGACAAACAGACAGACAGATAGACAGACAGACAGACAGACAGACAGACAGATAGACAGACAGACAGACAGATAGACAGACAGACAGACAGACAGATAGATAGATAGATAGATAGATAGACACTGTGGTATCAAACGTTCATAGAATTTATAATCTGTTACACTGTTATTTTTTGCAATTAATTTAATTTGTACATTTCAATTTAAGTTGTTATAATACTTTGTTTTTTATTGATGTCTTCACTATGCTATGTGTTACAAGCTTTGGCAATATTGTAATATGTACAGTCATGCCAATAAAGCAATTTGAATTGAATTGAATTGAATTGAATTAGATAGATAGATAGATAGATAGACAGACAGACAGATTGACAGACAGACAGACAGACAGACAGACAGACAGATAGATAGATAGATAGATAGATAGATAGATAGATAGATAGATAGATAGATAGATAGATAGATAGATAGATAGATAGATAGATAGATAGATAGATAGATAGATAGATAGATTGACAGATAGATAGATAGATAGATAGATAGATAGATAGATAGATAGATAGATAGATAGATAGATAGATAGATAGATAGATAGATGGACGGACGGACGGACGGACAGACAGATAGACAGATAGACAGATAGACAGACAGACAAATCACACACACACACACACACACTGAAACTGACCTTGAGTGCAGGAAGGAGGAGGAGCTATGTCGAGTGAATATTAAAAGCATTAGACAAGGTCTCATGAATAATTCATGAGCACGTCAACATCACCTCTGGGAGAGTTCATTACATCCGAACACACACAGTACCGTGTGTATTATCATGCACATTAATCACATGACTGTCTTCATGGACCATTGTGATGCTGTGTGTGTGTGTGTGTGTGTGTGTGTGTGTGTGTGTGTGTGTGTGTGATTACAAGGGTTTAGTGCGACTGAAACTCCAAGTACTGTAAACACTGCAGGAGTAAGTGTTAGCAGGTGTGTGTGTGTGTGATCTGCTAATGTGTGTGTAAAGAGAGCTGTGTGAGTGTCTAACTTTCAGTCGACGGGAATCTCAACAAATGTCCTGAGGAGCATTTACTGCCTTCTGATGCTGACATAGCAGTATACATTTAGCATTACCCAAATGAAGTTTTTAAATACATTTATTACATTTTTGACAATATACTAGATTCATTTCCCATTTTCACCTCCAAGTTCTCATTATTAAGTAAAAAAAGCTATAATAATAACAATAATTGTATCACTATTAGTTATTAATAGAATCAAACAAATAATAATGATTTTGATTATTATTTCTGTTTTTTTTAGTATTGCGAAATAGCAGTTATATTAAAATATAATTTTGTACATTTAAAACGGTAACAATCTAATTTAATCAATTGCTGCATCTGAGACCTGTTTGTTTGTTTATTTGTTTGTCTGTCTATTTGAAAATGTGAATAAAAAAAAATGGTAACAATAATTTGATTTTCTGATAATAATAATAATTATTCATATTATATTCTTATTATTATTATTGTTTTGTTGTTATTTCATAACAGCGATTAAAATATTTTTTAAATGTTATAAATTTAAAATAATTATATATTATTAGTCAAGTAGTAGTAATTAAATAAAATTGTGCATCATGGTGGTATTTGCAGTAGTGCCTTTCATTTCAGTTAATAGTATATTTAGTATAGTATATATTATTACAGTATTTTTACTATGAGAATTATAAAAGACGACTCATGTGAGGTTTTATATTCTTTATTTTATGTTTCTTTTAAAGCCCGACCGATAAAGGATTTTGAAGGCCGATACCGATACAAATATTTTTAGGTTTTAAAATCCGATATTTAATTTAATTTATTTATTTATTTATTTGAAACTGGACATGATCGTCACAAATTTTGTCATGCTTATTTGAGTTAAGAGAACTGATGGAGATGTTCTTTTAATTGTTTTTCAAGCAATGTATGTATCGTGACCAACTCAACGAGTGTTGCCAACAGGAACGGTGTAGAGCGCCCTCTGGTGGACAAACTATACAACTCCAACACTCATGACATGGTTCAAGCGTGTTTCGTCCGTTTTTATTTTATTTTTTAAATATTCATTTATCGGCCATTATAACTGCCGATACCGATAGTTTGGAAAATGCCTAATATCGGTCTGCCGATATATCGGTCTGGCTCTAGTTTCTTTTGATTTTGTGGTAAAATGTGACCCATACATGTTTTCATGAGATGTAGTCACAGGGTCATCGACTATCCTGAGGTGTGCGTGTGTGTGAATGTGAACGTGTGTGTGTGTGTGTGAGAGAGAGAGCTGGAAATGAGCCAGCGTGGCCTGGAGAGCACCTGTCGCGCGTGTCGGACTGTCTGCTAGTGATGGGAGTTAGTTTGAGTGTAATTAGTTCTGCGGAGCGAGCCGACAGAAACTCTTCTCGTGATGAACGTGTCTCTTCAACTGAGATGATGATGATGATGATTTTAGCTGCTCCCTCAGGTATTGAACCAAACGCCTCGGAGCAAACGAGCGAGCAAATAACCCAGTAAACATGAAGGAGCGAGGTGTGGACGGGTGAACCTGAGAGCTTCTGCCTGATGCTAATATATAATGCTAAAGCAATTCAGGGTTCAAACTCCCTCAGCAATCCATCCAAAACATGCGGTAGATATAGAAGTCTTAAAGGTACGGTAGTAAAACCAGGAATTAACATATTTTGCTTTAAAGTGTCATGCCCAGTGGTGTAGTGCAGGGTATACGCAGGTATACGGCGTATACCCACTTCCTTTTCAGTCGGCATTGCGTATACCCACTTCTAAATCCCCTCTGATGCGCATCATTTAGTTGCTAATCCAATTTCGTGAATAAAAAAAACAACCAGTTAGAGTTGTACCCGTAATATTAACTCTAATTTGTTGCTGCAATGATTCTCCCATCGCGACGATAACTGACCTTCTCATCTGATCTGCTTCAGCACTCAATCACCCGCTCGTCAATGTCAAAATGTTCGTGAGACCAATCAAAGAATGCAGGATTTTTGTTCACAGAAGCGCGAGCCGAGCGCGAATCCCAACGCGACGCTTCACTTCAGTTAACGATCATACAGTGTAAGATAAGATGCAAGTAGCTCAAATTTATGGCTGTTTTTCAATAGACGTTTTAAATTCCGACAGAATTTCAGTTTGATTAAAGACAGTGGAAATTATAAGCTCAATAGCAACACAAGCACCCTATTAAATATATTGCCATTATTATTATTGAATAAATATATTTGTATAACGTTTTTTCGAATGTGTTTGACTTTTCAATGTTTGTATAACTCCTCGTCTGTGTTTGCGCCACTTGCATCATTAAGCCAGAGGGTGGCGACAAGTGACTGTTTTTTTGAGTGAGCAATTGAACCATTAATTAAATTAACAGATTAGTCCATAAAACATTGATTAATTTAGGAAAGAAAAGTCGCTGAAACTGGAACTGATTCTCATGTTTAAGAATCTGATCAAATAGGCAACTTCATGCTTTTAAAGCTACTGTTGTCAAATTTTTTGGCCATCAAAACACCTTAAAATGCTCATCAGGAAAATCAAAATTTTCTCAGGGGGGCATGCCCCCGAACCCCCCTAACAATATCATTTATGGGACCTGGCAGGCATCTGGGTATTTACAAAACCATATGTGCGGCCCTGATATGCAAGAATACTACTGATTCTATGTGTTCTATTGTATCCATTATACTCTATTCTATAGTCTTGCATATTGAATACTAATGCAAGACTAGTAGTCTTACATGTCACTGTTTATAACACAGAGCGTTCATCTTTGACGCTCTGTGTCATCTTTGCTGGGACGCTTAAAAAATATTGGGGGCATAAATTAAGAGTATACCCACTTCTCCAGGCACCACTACATCACTGGTCATGCCTCTCTCAAACTTCACAACCTCTGCTCTTACAGTGCTTGTGAAGGCACGTCTCAACAGGAGAGAAGACTACTTTCAGTAAAAGGTCCAACTTATTAGGATGCTCTGAGTCATAAGTAAGCAGAAACACTCTGTGTAGACAGCAAATCTGCATTGGGGGCATTTTCAGACATGACAGACCACAACTGTTTAGGCTAACATGAGTTAACATTATAAACGGGTACATGTGTCTTTCTGAACCGCTGCATGATGATGCTGAATGGCCTGTTTAATCTGTGAAGCTCTAAATGCAATGAGTTTTCACCAAAATCCAATGTCCCTTTGGATGTAACGTGTCAGTCATGGTCCCACACCCTCTGGCTCCGCCTCCTAGAATAGCCACGCCCCAAACTCTCACTATTAGTTGAGCTGGAAAGTGATTGACAGATCTGAACGGACAGCTCTTAATGATTTACACTTTTGGGGGAGATAAACCCATAAATAGCACACTAATAGTAGTCAATCAACAGTAAACTGAGTTAAGAGAATGGATTTTAACTATCTTCACCTTTAAGGCTCTGAAATGATACTGAAAACATAAATCGACTGTTTTTGGTCGAAGAAAACAATAGTTCGATCAAACGTGGCTCGTTAAGTGATTATAAATCTGAAACTGGAGGTCATCGGGGTCCGTGTGGCCGAGATCAGCTGTAATGGAGACTCCTGTAACAGATAATTGGATGTTATCCGTCATCGCTATTATGACGCCCACCTGCTCCGGGAGTCACATTTCCACAACAGCAGCTGTTTACATTAAAAACTATATCCATGCCCACACCTGCGGATGACAATGTGGTTTATTATAAGCACACAGTTCATTACCGCAACAGTTGAGTGTATGCTGTTGTGTTAAACGTGCTATTTTGTGTGAATCAAATCCAGAAAGGAAAGTGACGCTCATTAAATAATTATGTATAAAGGGTTGGCTTCAGCCTACACGATTTATTCATTTAGCAGACGCTTTTATCAGTGAAAGAGTGCTATGACCGATCTAACGCAGTACATTTTTATTTATTTTACTTTTTTAAATAGAATAGAAAAGAAAGTGTTAGTATTACTGGATGAAGGGTTATTATGTATGTTTTTTTTTCTTGCTTTACTAAAATTATCTGTAAGGACTGAAATAGATGGACACATATTGCACAGAAAGGGTTTCCCGATGCTTTTAGAAAGAGTGTGTGTTGTCCTGAGACGTAAAGCGGAGGAAGAGCAGCAACTGACAACTGACACCAGCAGCGCTCACACCATGACCTCTGTGACCGATCACTGCAGTGTGTGTGTGTGTGTGTGTAGGGCTGGGTGGAGAGGGCCGAGAGGGCTGGACTGCTGTCGGAGACGCTGGATCTGTCTGAGCTTTTCCACCCGGACACTTTCCTGAACGCCCTGAGACAAGAGACCGCCAGGTGACGTACTTATATATATATATATATATATATATATATATTAGGGCTGTGCAAAAATTAATTGCAATTAATCGCATCCAAAATAAAAGTCTGTGTTTACATAATATATTTGTGTGTGCTGTATATAATTATTTTGTGTATATAAATACACACACATGCATGTATATATTTAAGAAAATGTGTTATTCATATATAAAATATTTATATAATATAGATTATGTAATTATACAAAATTTAAGCGCAAATAATTCTTAAATATAAACATGCATGCATAGGTATTTATATATACAAAATAATTATATACAGCACACACAAATATATTATGTAAACAGAGACTTTTATTTTGGATGCGATTAATCGCAATTAATTTTTGCACAGCCCTAATATATATATATAATGAAAATGAAACCCCTGATAAAACGCATGCTATGGTTAACTTGAGGTAAAATGTAACTTATCTCGCATATACCTGTTAAAGTAAATGAAGATATATTACAGTTATAATGAAAATGCACCTGATAAAACTCATGCTAACTACTGCATATATGTATATATATTAGGGCTGTGCAAAAATTAATTGCGATTAATCGCATCCAAAATAAAAGTCTGTGTTTACATAATATATTTCTGTGTGCTGTATATAATTATTTTGTATATATAAAAACACACACATGCATGTATATATTTCAGAAAATGTGTTATTCGTGTATAAAATATTTATATTTATATAATATAGATTATGTATTTATATACATATACAGAATTTAAGCACAAATAATTCTTAAATATATACATGCATGCATAGGTATTTATATATACAAAATAATTATATACAGCACACACAAATATATTATGTAAACTCTTTTATTTTGGATGCGATTAATCGCAATAAATTTTTGCACAGCCCTAATATATATATATACAGTGGCACTACCATGGTAATCTTGAAAGTATCATGTTTAAGTCATTGTATATTTCATAGTACCATAGTATTATCATCTGACACTGTACCTTACTTCCAAAGCTCACTGTGGTACATGGTAGAAAAATATAGTATAAAATTATAAATAACATACAATAATAATATTATATAAAATATTAAAAATGTAAATAATATATAAAGCATTAAAATATAAATAATATATAAAAATATATAAAAATATAATTAATAAAACATAAATAAAAAAATATAATGAAGGTAGCTTACCTACTACAACAAAACAACTGCAAACAATAAACTTGCATCATGTACATTATGTTCACTTGCTAAACTTACACATACACACCTACTAAAGTAATCTCCAGCTAAATTCCCTGATAAACACCTGCTAAACTAAAGACTTGTGCAAATTTGTGTCACACACACACTCGTCGCTCGAGTCGCCTAAACCTGCTGATCTGAAATCAGCCATAACATACATAACTACTGCTCATTTACTGAGATAAAATGCTTTAATCTACCTGACATATACAGAAGTCTTTGGGGTCCCGCGGCACAAAGAGCCTGTTTAAGAGTCAAAGCGAGTGTTTTATGAAGTTGTGTGTTTTAATTAGAGCCAGACCGATATATATTAGGCATTTTCCATAATATCGGTATCGGCAGTTATAATGGCCGATAAATGAATATTTAAAAAATAACATAAAAACGGACGAAAACACGCTTTAATCATCTCTCCTCGGCCTGTTATATTGAAAATGTATGTTTTACAATTTGCAGTATGATGTCATCTATTGCTAAATCATGGCTCATCATAGACTAGCGAACCACAAAGCAGGCTAAAGACCGCTAACGTTAACATTAATGAGCTTGGAAACCACAATGAACTTTTTCTGCCTAAATAAAGTAATGATTACTGTATTTATAACTCGCATATCTCTAGTTACAGTCCCTGCATTGTAAAATGTAAGTTATACTTACGAGTGAACATTTAGACATAGAGGAAAAGTATCAAACGTATCTTGTGCAGAAAAGTTCGCTTTTCTTTTACACGTGTGTGAAATCCAACAATATTTAATAAAAAAAATATCGGCCGATATATCGGATTTTAAAACCCAAAAATATTTGTATCGGTATCGGCCTTCAAAATCCTTTATCGGTCGGGCTCTAGTTTTAATATGACGTGTGTTTCAGGTTGATGAGCTGCTCTATGGACAGTCTGAAGTTCGTGACGTCGTGGAGGGGCAAGATTACTGAAGCACAACTACAAGTGAAGGTACAAACACACTCCCCTCTGAAGAATGTGTGTTTAACATGACTAAACTGAGGTTCTCTGGTCCATGTTTACTAATCTCTCTCTCTCTCTCTCTAGATTGGCGGTTTGCAGTTGGAAGGTTGTAGTTTCGATGGAAACCGTCTGTCTGAAAGCCATCATGACTCTCCCAGTGTGTCTGCCGTCCCTGCGTGTCACATGGCCTGGATCCCACAGGTAACACACACACACTTTACCCTTAAAGTAAGGGATAACGCACATCCAGCCAGTTGTTATCGCAGAAAAAACTCCCATCGGGGTGATCAGGACCCCCGACGTGAACCAGAAAGGGCTGGATGTACATTATCATGTTTATCACACCGTTACTTCCCACACAAGTGAATTATTGAACACAAACTATTGATTGTCGTTAAAATAGTTTATTAGCTTACTAAACGCAAGAAAACAGTTGCTAGGAAGTGGCTTTCCAGCCAAGAAGACTGAACCAGATCAAACTAGACGAGCATTTAAGGGATAAAGTACAATCATACCACTTATCACATGGCTTTCGCCACATCAATAACTCTGAGGACAAGAGATGTGTTCAAATCTATCATCCTGCCAAGGAGATGAACACAGCAGCATTATTATTATTAATACGGAAGTCCTTCCCATTTCATTTTTTACGAAAATCAATAAATATAATTGAGGTCAAGTCAAGTCAAGTCACATTTATTTATATAGCGCTTTTCACAATACAGATTGTATCAAAGCAGCTTCACAGTGATAACTTGAAAGTAGCACAACACAGATCAACAACATTGCTAAACACTAAATAACCCCAACTGAGCAAGACGTTTGTGAGGTGTATGTTATTCACAGTGTTGGGGAGTAGATAACTACAAGTAGCGACGCTACTAACTTAACTACATTTTTTAGTAGCTTGGCTGTAACTCAGTTGCTTTTTAAACAGATTAAACTTTTTAAACAGTTTAAACTCATTTTTTTTGCCATTACCGCCACCTGTTGTTTAATCACGCGTCTTGCGGCTAACGGTTCACTGACGTAAAGAACTGGGTTGACAGTGACACACCCATATTATGATTATGATGGAGCCAGAGGTGACGGCAGATTTGGATGATGGAGAAACAACTAAAGTTAATTACCCATGGCCTTATTTGTCCAAGTTCAATCGGTATTTTTGAGAAAATGTTCTAAATGCAATTTATGTTGAATGTATATTTTGTATATTTTGTGCAATTTTGCACTTTTGGCAAACAGTCTGCAATATTTGAGTGTTGTGTGTAATAAAACAATACTCTATGAAATCATAATTGTATTGCATTGTTTTAAACACTAAATATTTTAATTAAAACATTCATCAGACACTTATTCAGTTATTTATAATATAGAATTTATAGCATGTTATAAATATAATATGTAATATAATATTTATAATATGTTGTTCAAAAAGCAAAAGTAGTTTCAACGTAGCTAGCTACTTTTTGATAGTAACTTGTAGTGTAGCTAGCTACTTTTCCAAAAGGGTAACTTGACTGTAGTTTAACGACTTTAACGTACGAGTAGCTTGTAGCTTGTCAAACTACAGTTTCAGAGTAGCTTCCCCAACACTGGTTATTCAGCGTTGCTATTGACGATGTTGGTTATCGGGGAATAACACATCTCGGAATTTCGGCACTGACCAATCAGAATCAAGTATTCCAGAAATCTGTGTAATAAGTACCCGCCCTCTCCGCGTCGTGGCCGCATTACCACCTCGGGTGTGCAGTATTTACTCATAATTCAACAGCCTGGAGTCAATTATTACATTTCCAGACCTCAAGACTTTGTCAGATGTTGTATTTCAAGACGTTTGTCAGGTTTTTGTCCTTAAAATGCTCTTGTGTGCGGATTTAAATCTAACTCATTTCATCCCACGCCTCTTAAATCTAATTTAAGAGTTCGTAAAGGAGGCTTGAGCCACTGATAGCAGACCGATGCAGTTAGCAGTGCTGTTATTAGAGAGAGAGAGAGTGTGTGTGTGAGTCTCTCTACTAATAGTGAAACTGTAAGTTTATCAGCTTCAAGAACAGTTGCTAGTGAGAAACGTCATGTAGCTTTTAAGTTGCTAAACTATTTTACTGATACAATTATCAAAGCAGCGCTGAAAAGAAAAGAAACGTTTCTGTGCGAGTGTGTTCGTACATGTGTGTGTATTGAGTGTGAGAGAGAGTATGTGCTGTCCGTACATTATAAAATATAATTTTGTTGCAAAAAAACATGGAAATAATTCATTGTTTTTCTCCTATTGTTTGCTATATTTGCTTGACAGTGTAGTTGTCGGCTGTAAAGACCTTCACTCAAAAAAATTAACTGGGGAGGTTGTGCACTTTACATAATATATTTATTTATAGTTTACTTTAAAAAAAAAAAAATTCTATTAAGGTCTATGTAATTGTGTCTCAACTTAACAGTACAAAATCATAATGTGTTGTCTAAATACAAACCATTTATGTTAAGTAAAAAAATGTTTACATCCAGAGGGTGGCGGTATAGTGCGAGCCGACTGCCGTTTTGCCCGAACTTAATTTTATTGTGTTCAATCTGCTTAAATCTACGAACAACTTAAATTTACTTAATCCGTTTGTGTTGGATTACATGATTTATTTGTGTTGCCTTAACTGAAACTGGGCAGTGCTTTTAGTTCCCAGCATGCTTTGCATGTGGTTGAATTAAGAGAGAATAAATGTTAAAATTAAGTGTTATTTTATGTGTTTTTTTTTTTTGAGAAATTTAGAAAAGGGGAAGACTTGATAGTGTGTAATAGTGTTTAATGTTTAATTACATTGGAATTATTAAAACATTTAAATTACATGATGAGTGGAGCATTTTGTTTGGCTGTCGACTGATTTCATTATTTTCAATTGCTTTGAATGAAGTAGCATGTAAATCTTAGCATTCAAGATGCTAATATGTGCTTCTGCTAGCTAAAGTCTATCAATTTAATTAAATGTCACTGAATCAAATGATATATAAATGGATGAATGAATATAATAAAATGCCTTGTCAGGAAGCCTTTAAAAATTCACGTTGAGACTACTTAAATTGGGTAATTTAAAATGACATAATTCTATTATGTTGAAGTTACATGAACAAATTATGTTTGTTTAACGTAATCCAGTTATGTGGAACCTGTTGACAAATTAAAATTAATGAAAGCCAACATATAATTTTTTTGAGTGATCGAAGTAACTGAAATCGTTTGGCGAAGGGATATGGACCTGTAATGCGGTCAAGACCTGCCGGAACTACTTTATTTGTGTGTTTCACCTCAAAACAATCGCATACCTTAGAATGTTCGGCAGCCAATCAGATTCAAGCATTCAACATCCACCTAGCATAATTACATTTCTATGATGTTTCCAGTGATAGCTGTAGATAAAAGTGTGTGTGTGTGTGTGTGTGTGTTTCAGAGCACAGCGGGAAGTTATTCTCCAGACGAGTGCATCTCTCTGCCCGTGTACAGCAGTGCCGAGCGTGTGTGTGTGGTGACAAACGTGCAGCTGCCGTGTGCCGGAGATCATGACACATGGATCCAGAGCGGAGCGGCACTCTTCCTCAAACAGCAGTAACACACGCACACACACACTCCACAATCCATTTATAATGCACACACAGATATTATAATCATTTTATGTCACTACATGTCTTGTATTTGTGTTTGGATTCATATGGGGGTGTTTTTGTCTCGATCGCTGCATTACTGTAGTATTCAGTCATGTTGCATATATTTATATTGTCAAATAAAATAGTTTTCTTCAAGATCATTCTTTTTCTCTCCGTTCAATTTCGACAAAATCTGTTCATACTGTATCTAGAGTAGGGGTCAAAGGTGATGCTTATTTTTAATGACCCTGTAAGTTCAATATTAAACCATTTTAAATGTCAGGGAAGAACGAAACATTAAACAAATCATGCCAAATGACAAGTGTGCTTAGACTAAACAACAAAATGAAATGAGTCATGAAACAAATACTGAAATGAAATTCATAAATAAAATGAAATAAAAAAATAAATCAATAATTTTAACAAAAAGGAGCCAATTCATAAGGTGATGTGTGTTTTTTATGTAATATACTATACTCTCATCATCATTTCCTGTTGCCCGCTTTGAAAACAGTCAATATTTTTGTAGTTTTTCAGTTCTTTGTAGAGTCATAAATAAATGTGATCAGACGGATACACACTGTATCACACAAGACTTGAGCAGAAATGACATCAGCTGTGATCTGAACATGACTTCTCTACAATAAGCAGGTCATGTGACTAGCAGTAAAAGCAGTAGTTGAGTGTGTGTAGTGTGTTCTGTGCAGTGTGAAGCTTTCCTCTGTCAGTCTGTCTGAACGTCAGCAGGTTGCGGGGACGACCTTTGACCCACGCTCATGTTATAGAGGCCACCTGCCTTCTGGATTGATCATTAGAGCAGCAGGTATGACGCGTGACCTTTGACCTCTGTGATGTGTGTGAGATCAGGATGCAGATGCTGTGTTTCTCCTCTGATCCTCCTTTTCCTTTAGAGAGGAACAGAAACATCCTCGTTCATTCCTGAGCGTCACGGCTGTTCTTCTGGTGCAAAAACACTACCATGAGGTTCATGTTTTATTTTTTTTAATTTTTTTCGTGTTTTTAATACCATTTTGGTACGTTGGTATACCATTGTCCTTTTTGGCGATCACATACTACCAAGGCCTTTACCATCTGAGACCATCAATGTACGTATATTTTGAAAATATATATAATATAATATATATAATATAATTTTCATAATATAATATATATTATGAAAATATATTTTCATATATATATATATATGAAAATATAAAAAGTTTCTTTTTCAATGCAATGTTAACAAACAGAACAAGTCGAGACATACAAGCAGTAAACAATCTATCAAAACACGGAGACATTATGATACCAAATCCATTAAGAGAGGAGATATGAAAAGAAATAACATTATTTAACAATAGTCTTAAAGAAAAAAAGAGAGAAGGAAAAGAAAGATGAAGATTAAACATTAAGGAAGAATATTAAACATGGTACAAATTCTAGATGTTTTTCATTGCTTTCTTATTAACAGATGTTGAAATTGTATTTAAATACATCTTCAATTGTTCTTTATAAAAAGGTTTGCAGTGTGTGTGTCTAAACACTCATTTAGACTGACATTATCCTGTTTGCGTGTCTCTTTTCCTCGAGGGTGAATCGTGCGATCTGAGTCGTTGCCCTTTTGCTGGAGGCTTTTCACAAACACACACTCTCAGAGTTTTGGAGCTTCTTGACTTTTCAGACGGAGAGGCTTTTAATCCGCACATCAAAGGTCAGTGTGTGTGGTTGTGTGTGAATACTGAATTCTGGTGGTTATGTGCAAATCCAAACGGCAACAAATCAAAACCCCTGACCTTTAATCCCCTCACACACACACACACACACACATAGAGCCACGGTGACCACCTGTAACTGGACAGCAGTAAAAACTCATAAAAAATACCATGATGCAATGATTGTACTTTAGAGACCATAATGGAAAAAAACAAACAACAACACAATGGTACTATACAGTAAATGACAAAAATGTGGTATTACCAGGGTAAATATAAACCTGTTTACATGGTAAAACATGTTAGTTTCACGTTAACTGACCGTTCGCAAAGCCCCGCCCTCTTTTGTTGCTGTTGCTACGTCTGACAAGCGGGCCGCTCTCACACACACACACACACACACACGGTGAACAATACATCGCGGAGCAGAAGACACTGACAGACAGGACACACCAGCCTACTTTTGATATGACACAATCTCACCTTTCAAAAATGTCCCCATTGAAACCCATTAAAACTGCCATTTTTAATCCCCAGTTCAGTTAACTATAAAATTATGCAATCTTTGTTAAGAGGCTTTCATTCTGATGGCAAGGCTTCAAAATGTTTTTTTTTACTATTTTTAATCAGATGGTGTCATTTTTTTTTAAGTTTGGCCTATAAAACAAATATCACTTTATTCCTGTTTTCTGGTTCGGCATATTATAGAGCCAACCTGATAAATTATGCAACAATATTTGTGTGGGTGTGTTGGTATGGATGTCAGAGTGTGGTTAGTGTGTGTGTTATAAAAAAATATATGTGTGTGTGTGCATGTGTGTGTTTGTAATACTGAGAGAGAAAAACTGCAATCACTGTGAGCTCCAGTGGGGTTTTGCTGCCACCCAATGGGGAAAATATGTTACTACGCCCAAACAAACTGTTACCGAAAGCTCATTTTTTGAGATATCATCCTCAAATTTGGAACACAACCTATTTAGATTTATGGCTTTGATTTTATTGTAGTTTTGAGTTCAACCTGATTTAAAAATATATATATTTTATATAAAATATTTTTTTATAAATAATTTTCATAAACTTTTTTTTGGATTTACTTTTTTTTTTTAAACTTAAGTTTTTTCCAAACTTAAGTCTGTGCTCCAAAGCGTCACATTTTTTCAAAGCGACAGTTTTTTGACATGGACATTTTTGTCCTCTTTTTACCTATGTGTAACTTTTTTTAATTGATGCACAAGGGTTAAATGCATGGTCCGAGGAGAAGCTAGTTTACGAGCAGCGGTGCACAATAACGACACATATTTCTTTTCTTTTTACCGTCAGTGAATAGCACCGAGTGAAAAATCAACGTTTAGTGGCAGTGATCATGACGTTAGTTCAGATAAGTACCGGTAACCTTTGTCATAGTTCTGGTAAACTTAGTCTTTGTCAGCTAGAAATAGAAGGCATCATGCTAGCTATTTGGCCGCTTCCAAGCGTTTATCTCTTCCTCCGCTGGAAATGTTGTCGCAAACGTAGCCGCCGCGTGTCTGTCGCTGTGTGTGGGCGCTGCGTTGGAAAGCGTGTGCTGTAGGGAAGTGAGTGCGTTTGCTGGTCCAGGAGCTCACCCTACGCACCTCACTATTGTCAATCTAGATATTTCCATCTATTTATCTATCTAGCTGCTAGCTATCTATGCTTACGTTCTGCTATCTGGCTGTCTCTCTCTATACTAGCCTATCTATCTGTCTATCTATAAAGGCCTATCTAGTCTACAATATGAGCTATCTCTCAATGCTTTGGTAAATTCTCTCCCCAAGGTGACGTAATGCAAAGCATTGTGGGGGAACGGAGAATTGCTGCAAACCACTGTAAAGATTATTATGATTGGTCAGATCGCCTGTCAATCAAACTCCCTGGGAAGGGTCAGTTGTAAAAAAAACATGGTAGTTTCAGGATACATGTAAAAAACATGGTAGATTCATGGTTAGGTTAATGTTTCGTGGTAAGTGTTCAAATAATTGTAGTTTCATATTAATGTAAAAACAGTAGTTTCAGGGTACTTTTAGGTATCAATTTGAATTTTTAAGTGTGTGTGTTATTTATGAGAGAAGGTTTCTGTCTCTTGTTCTCACACACACACACACAATCAAACTGCAAAACAGGAAACAGAACAGAGGAATGCCGTGTGCTAGGAAAACCACAGACCTGCGGGCCGTGTGTGTGTGTGTGTATTTATGCAGTGATTTTGATTGATTTTCTTCATTAATTTCCCTCTTCCTGTCATAGTTCATTTTTCTCATGGCTGTCTGTCAGCTGACGCCCAGAGCAGCTCCAATTATAATACAGCACTGAGGAGGAGTGCTTTTAGCTCGGCTTAGGGGAATACATCTGACAAAAATCATCATTAACTCACCGTCATCTTGTTACAAAGCCGGGTGGCTTTCTTTTTCAGTGGAGCACAAAAAAGAAGACATTTATCTGAATGTTCACGCTGTTCTTCATCATCTTCCTCGTCCTGCAGGTTTCAAACGACATGACGGTGAGAAAATGATGAGAAATGTCATTATTCCTGGGACGTTTTGCTGCAGGATCTTTATGTAATATTCGCAGATGGAAAGAAGATGATAAATAACACGTCAAATTGAGAAATCAACAAAGACACAAACAGATGCAAAGAGTAAAAGTAACTGTGCGTCTCTGCTCATGTAATCGCTGGACTGTTTTAAACATGGAAACTTCACATTTTTAATGTTTTATTTATATTTTAAATATTTTAGGTATATATATATATTTTTTTTTTAATGCTGTATTTATCATTTACATTTTTAATATTATTTTATATGATATAAATAATATTAGTTTCATTGTAATACTATGTTACCATTTCCCATTGTAATATTTACAAGTACTACTATGGTATAGTAATGGTCATTTTTATGGTATTATTATGGTACTTTGAAATATAAAATGGTTTTAACGTGGTACTTTCAAAAGTACCATGGTACTTTATTTTTAAAATTGTGGTGAAATCAGGCTAGTTAAAAAGAAGTCTTAAAATACCTTGAAGTTTTCCTAATAAAAGGCCTTAAAAAGTATTAAAATGTCTTAAAGTTTTCCTAATAAAACGCCTTAAAAAGTATTAAAATGTCTTAAAGTTTTCCTAATAAAAGGCCTTAAAAATTCTTAAAATATCTTAAAAGTTCTCCTAATAAAAGGCCTTAAAAGTCTTAAAATACCATAAAGTTTTCCTAATAAAAGGCCTTAAAAATCTTAAAATACCTTAAAGTTTTCCTGATAAAAGGCCTTAAAAAGTCTTAAAATACCTTAATTTTCCTAATCAAAGGCCATAAATAATCTTAAAATACCTTTAAGTTTTCCTAATAAAAGGCCTTAAAAAGTCTTAAAATAACTTAAGATTTTCCTATTAAAAGGCCTTAAAAAGTCTTAAAATATCTTAAAGTTTTCCTAAT